TGATAAATTCTTATCATATTTTGTTTTGGGAGCAAATTCCGCAACTATTTTCTTTAAACGATTACTCTGATTTTAAAACAAAGCATAAACAAATCGGTATTTTCTGGCCGTAAAAATAGGGATGTCACATCAAAAAACGGAGAATTTTGAATACCATTGTCTTGAAGCTTGGCATAATCCATATAAGAATTTTTGCAAATTACATACCAAAGGTCTTGAAGAATGAGCAGCATGAGGAACAATGTACCCTTGAGGAAGCTGCATGTAAACTTCTTCTTCTAAGTCTCCGTTTAAAAACACATTATTAACATCGAGTTGAATTAAAGGCCAATTTTTTTTAGCTGCTAAAGAGAGCAACAATTTCACTGTTACTAACATGTCAAAAGGGGAAAATGCGTCAAGGAAGTCCACTCCTTCTTGTTGATTGAATCCTTTGGCAACTAGTCGAGCTTTAAAACGATCAATGGTGCCATCATCTTTCCTTTTAACTTTGAAAACCCATCGACACCCCAATGGCTTTCTATCTCGTGGAAGGGGTACAATCGTCCATGTGTTATTTAATTCAAGTGCTTGTAACTCCTCTGACATTGCTTGTCTCCATTCCAAAGCCTTAACAACCTCATTATAACTTCTAGGTTCATCTTGAGTTGATAGAAAAAGAGTATAAGCACGACATGTAGAATTGAGTTTGTCATAAGAAATGACATCTGATAAAGGATATTTATAACTAGATGAGGGTGTTGAATTGGATTTAACCAAATTACAGTGATAATCCTTCAAATAAGAAGGTTTTTGGCGATTCCTCTGTGTTCTGGTGTTGTTAGGAACTGGTATAGGATCCGTTACAGAATGTGGCACAAAATCTGATATAGAATCAAGTATGGAAACTGATGCAGAACATGGGACAGAAGAAGAAATAACAGTTGGAATGGAAACATCATCCATAGATAGATTATCAAAAGCTTTTGGAAGAACCAACATTGGAAAAGGATCATTAAGAACTTCTTGTGTAGAGTGAATGAAAGGAAAAACACTTTCATGAAACACTACATCTCTTGAAATAAAAACAGTCCTTGTGGTTAGATCAAGAAGCTTATATGCTTTCATACCAGGTGGATAGCCAATAAGAATGCAACTTTTGGCTCTAGGATCAAATTTTGTCCTGTTTGCAGTAAGAGTTGAGGCAATAGCTAAACAACCAAAACTCCTCAAAAAAGAAAAATCAGGAACTTGATTGTATAGTTTTTGATAAGTTGTGATGTTATTGATAATCTTAGAAGGTGTTCTATTGATCAAATATACTGCTGTAAGAACACATTCAGACCAATAGATGATAGGAACATTTGATTGAAAATATAAAACCCTTGCCACATTCAAAATATGTTGATGCTTCCTTTCTACTACTGAATTTTGTTGTGGACGTTCAAGACATGAAAATTGATGTAAAATTCCTTTTTCATGAAAAAATTCTGTGAATAATAACTCCTTTGCATTGTCTGATCGAAATTTTTTAACATTAGAATCAAACTGATTTGAAACCATTGCAAGAAATTGTGGTATTATCCTTTGAACGTCAGACTTGTTCTTTAGAATATAAATCCAGGTAAAACTGGTACAATCATTAACTAAAGTTATGAAATACCTATAGCCTTGGTATGAAGCAACTTGGTAGGGGCCCCCATACATCACAATGAAGAAGATCAAAGGGCTTATTTGCAATATTATTCACATAAACAAAAGGGAGTCTTTTCGGCTTAGCTAAAGGACATACAGAACAAACTTGTTCTTTACCATCTATGTGACTAATAAAGAGATCTTTACAAGCTATCTTTATCTTCTCATTTGATGGATGTCCAAACCTAGAATGCCATTGTTGAAATGACACAACAACATTAACTCTTGAAGAAGACACATCCAACAAATAAAGTCTTTCATGAACTTCACCCCTGCCAATCATCTTCTTGGGGAAAATCTGCTTAATCAAAGCATAATTGTGATAAAAATTGACCATTAACATCTGAGTCTTGATTAAATAAGTGACAGGACTCAAACAAGTGACATAGATCAAGTTTAGTTCAAAATCAGGCACATAAAGAACTTCTTTAAGAAGTAATTCTTTAGTAAGTTGTATATCCCCCTTATAAGCAACTGAAATAAGAGTTTGATTAGGCAATCTCACTATAGTACCTTGTATATCTTGGATGTTTAAGAAAAATACTTTTATTATTGCAAATGTGTTGTGTTGCACCAGAATCAAGAATCCAAACGTTTGAAGAATTAAGACTTAAAATTCTATTACCTGCCAGATTTTCAGAAGCATTGGTAGTAATCATGTTTGCAGAAGCAATTTTTCCAGACAAAAGAGCAATAAGACCTTCACATTGTTGTTGTGTAAGGCCAGTCAAAGCTTCATTAACCATGGAAGATGATTCATGAACTGCTTTTTCAGAAGTTTGTTGATCAAAACCAACATAATTTGCACGAGACTGATAAGTATTTCCATTGTTTTGAGTTCTATATCCAGGGGAAAACCATGAAGACGATAGCATTTATCTTGTGTATGGCCAGTCTTTTACAATGCATACACAAAGGAGAATCCTTCTTGAAATTTTTGTTGTTGGACTGATTAGAGTTGTATCTAGCTTTGTTGTTGTTATTGTTGTTGCCATTATTGGAAGTACGAATGTTAAAGGCAAGAGTAGAGGTTTGGGAATTACCTATGTTACATTGCCTTTCTTCTTGAATAACCAGAGAAAAAATCTTGTTCACAACAGGAATAGGGTCCATAAGCAGTATCTGACCTCTCAATTGTGCATAGCTTGAATTCAACCCCATTAGGAAACTCATGGCATGTTCTACCTCTTTAGCTCCACCACATGTGCATTTTCCACAAGTACAATGAGTACTATAAATGTGGTTCTGCATTGGTCAAGTTTTCTTCTCCTATTCTTATTATGCAACATGGGTAAGATAGTCAATTTTTTGATAAAATTTTGGGATCACTTTTCACTTCAATTAATTCCACCAGGTAGTTATGATTGAACAGGGGCAACCACGAGTACTGTAGTGTTATTCCTGGAAGATGATCTACCCTAAGTTATAGAATTATGAGCTTGACTATATTGTTTTTTAGTCTTCAAATCAGCACCAACAACAAGCTAGAGAAACAAAACCATACAATCAAGACCAAAAGCCAAGAAGAGAAAACCCACAACGGTAAAATGGTCCAAAACACAAAAAATCTTCCCACTAGTAACCTTGAGAGCAGAAAGCACCAGAACAACTGAACAACTAAAAACGGATGTAATGAGGTTGAAATCTTCAATTAACCGACACGAGAACAACTCCCACCAAAATATCAAAGTCGGGGGTAAAATGGTCAAAGTGTAGCGAAAAACTCCCACCAACAATTATGAAAATAAAAAGCAACCATCAGCAATAATAAGACCAGAAACGAGTTCATCCAAATATGAAAACAGTTACGTAAACACAGGAGAGGACGATCATGAAATTGCCCATACATGAGCAAGACAAAATCAGGGGCAAAAACGTCAAAGGGGAAAATCAACTAAGCAAAGCAACCTTCTAACCACCAGAAACCATATAAAGACCACCACAAAGCCTTTTGCTCATAAGCATCCAATATAACTGCTCCAAATACCGATCGACAGAGGGCATAATTTAAACAGGCTAACAGAGTATAAGGATAAAGCAATGATGAAAATATGCAAATGTTTATCAGATACAACACTTCTATCAGATACAACCAAACAAAAGGTACATATGTATTGAAAAGAAAACAAACACACCAAAGTCAGGATCCCCAATCCTAATTAAATGCTTTAATCTTATTGGAAATGATATTCTAATAAAATCATATAGAATTTTGAATTTTGATAAAAAAAAATAATATTAAATTAGTTTAATTTTAATTAAAATATGAGTTTAGATATAAATGTGAATTTTATAGTTTTAGAATCTCTATCTCTATTCTTAATAAAAGCCTCTTATACCTGCCACGTGTCATCTTATAAACACTGTCTATTGTCACATGTCATTCAACCATCCATCTAATCTTTATTTTTCCCGCCCATCGACTCGCAACATTCATCCACATTTAGCTGCCTAAATATTAGCATTTTGGTTATCACTATTTGAATTAATTTGAATTAATATCGTATTATTTGACTTAATATGCGGAAATCATTATCTTATATCCTAAATTAGTTGCACTCATTCCATAAAACATCCATAAAAGAGCAACTGGTATTAAATTAATGTTATTTAAAATCAACAATAAATCTTCTTCTTCCTCCATTACTATAAGGCTCGAAGGAGTGGCCCTCGCTAGGGATTCGGCTCCAGCTCGCCAAAGTCGCTTCCTCCACTCCTTCAATTTTGGCCTTATGACAGATTCACTCCCAACTTACAATTTCTTTTACAATATAAATTTTCAGAATTAGCACAAAACCCCCTGAAAAACCTTATTGTAACTTTTTTAATTTAATATCAAATGTTTGTGTTTTAGAAAATATAATTTATTTGATATTAATTATTTGTGGTTTAAAAAAATAAAATTTATTTAATATTAACTGTTTGTGTTTTAAAAAAATATATTTTAATTAAATTTAAAAAAAATGATGTTAGAAGTGTTACCACTCCCTACCAAATGCTAATAATAAAGTTCTAAGAAAAAAAAATGACATGACACCAAAAAAAAGTGATGTGTTAGGAGCGGTACCACCTTATCGCACCTCCACAAATTTCGGCCTAATCTCCTTTTATCTCTCTCCGATAACCTACCGTTTCCCTTATCTCAAGTCTCAATCCAGATTTTCAAAAACTTTGGTCAGTGTATTGTCGTTCTACTCCGCCACCAATTCTATTATCTCGGGCCATACATTGGCTCGGTCTTATGATTATAGATAGGGCTTATTTGAATAAGGTGAGGATGTTTTAATTTTGAGATTTTTATTTATTCTTCTAATTAGGGATTTCCCATGTTCATCATATTTCTAATCCCCTCCATCAATGTCGTTTTTGGTCAGCTAGGGTTCGTCATCTCCTTACTCAGTTTCTCTGTCGGTTTGCGATGGTTGTTCACCATCTGTCGGTTTGATGTGATTTTTGTGTTTGCAGTTTGCGAATTGAAAGGTGTGGTGAAGTGGCTATGGGTTCTTGCTTACGGGTAACATGATTTACTTTGGGATGTTTATATTGTGTTTTCCATGGAACTTATTTTGGTTAAGTTTTAGTTGGGAATTTGCTCATCTTTTGTAATTGATGATGCACAGGGATGTTGGCTACAATTCATGGAGAATATAAGTTAAAACTTATGGTTCATACAAGATGTACGAAATCTGGGCCTATTCTTTTTATTTAAATTTAATTTTTTTGTAGATAGGAACCACAATTGCACCACATCAATTATGTTTTTTATTAGCAAACCTTTTTTATAACCTTTGTGGCTGATCTGGGTCATAATATGACCCTGTATCTTTTATTTTCTTACTTTTTCAGGGTTATAAGATTCTAAAAGATTTCCTTGTGAAATTCATGGAATTACAATTCCAAAAGATTTCTACGCTTGCTGTTGTGAAAACATAAGCATATGGACTTCCTTGTGCAATTCACGAGTCTATTTTGGTTTACCAGCATTACATCAGTAGTAGTATTTACTAATACTGTTATTGTTTGTGTAGTATGTTGGTCCTGATATTATTTTGCTGGTTAATTTTTGTAGATTAGTTTTGATCAAATGTCTTATGTTATTAATTTTGAGCTTGGTGTAATATGTAGTCATAGTAAATTATTAATTGGTATTTATAAAAACCATTGGAGTTACTGAACTTGGAAAAAATATATTATACTTTGAAAACTTGAATATATAATTCACCTTGTGGTTCCGATCATCATAAAGCTTCTCACAAACAGGAAGAGAAGGATTGAATGTGATTGTTGTGTTGTGTACTGGTAATGGAGTCTAATGTAGTCCATGTTATAGAGCATGAATCAAGAGCCATGCATATTATTTTCTGCAGTTATGGTGTTTCGTTTGGAACTAAGATGAGCACTAACTACCACTCTTTTCTTTTCTTTTTTTCTTTTTTTTTTTTCTTTTTTTTTTTGTTTATAACAATTCTGTGTATGAACGCTTTATCTTTTTTGGGAACATGACACTTAACACACCTTCTAAGAGGCCTCTAAAGTGATCTTCTCTCTTTCCTCGACGTTGTAGGTGAAGCATGTAATATTCGATGTTTTTTTTATTCAATGATTTCTTTATTTTAATCTATATGTTACCTTTTTCTTTTGATTTTTGAATTATTAGTGTTGAACGTGTGTCATTGAAACAATTTGTTGTGTTTCAATTTTATCTTATTTTGATGTTGTTAAATCAATTTTATTTGTTTCCAACAATTTTATGTTGTAATTATATAAGGTTATATCATATTTAATGTTCGATAAGGGACAAACATTATGAGTTTTTAAGTTAAATTTTAGGCATAAGAGCTTCCTACTTGGACACTGATGATCGAGTTTGGTGTCTCTTATTTACTGTACTTGATAAGAAAATGGAAGGTATATTCTTAAAAATCCGTTATAATGTATGTTTTATTGCATATTTGAACTTCCAAGTTCATAAAGTTTTATATTAAATTTTTTAAGCGTTATTTTTTGGAATTTTGTTTATCGTACATATTAAAATCTCACCTAGCTCTTTATCTTGATAAGCTAATCCACAATATGTTAAATGTAGAAAAATTGTAATATATTTTTTTCATTTTACTTGATCATTTACACCTCAAACAAATCCGTTTTCTTTCCTTTTTTATTTCTTATATAATTAATATAATTAATTATATAAAAATGCGAGCAACAAGTTTCATATTCATGCTTTGACAATTATACAAGCGGCAGACAACCATTTTATGATGTTTCCAAATACACCATTTGGAGATTGTTGAAGATTGGGAAATAGTGTCTCAAAAGTTATTATACTGAATGGTAGATATCAAAATTCTCCTTTTATCGGTAACTATTTTTTTGAACAATTTATATTCTCGAATGTTTTTTTTAAACCTATTTTACCTTTCTTTAAATCACACAAATTATTTCAGGCGGAAACCACATGTGGAGTTCGCCCTCTCAAATCCACATCGACGTCGTGCACATGGAGACAATTGGGGTGAAATAGCAAATGCATTTTCCAGAAGGCCATTGTTTACATCCTGTATCTTTTGTTTAAAGGTAGGTCATAACTGTAATAAAGAATTAGGTATCCATTCAAAAACCACATCTCTTCTTCAAGAAACTTACAACATGATTATATTAGTTTAAAATAACCATGGTACAATTACAACTAACATATGAAATTTTTTATAAAAATAAATCTATACAAATCTATGATTAATGATTATTATCTTTATACAAATCTATGATTAATGACTATGAGAAAATAAATCTATACAAATCTATGGTTAATGACTATTAGAAAAAGAACTTCATTTCTGAAGGTAGTTTCCTTCACAAAATCACCAATAAACTGATGAATTTACACAAAATTCACAATTATCAGACTTTGTGATGGATTGATAGCGTATTCGTGACGGATTTGTGATGGATTTCCAACGGATTTGCGACAAATTTTCACTAAATTTACATTTGACGGGAAAATTTAAGGGGTAGCCCGTGCTACCCCATGCTACAACGTAAATCCGCCCTTGTGTTATTTTACTTTTAGCCGTGGATTCCACGGATTATAACCTAGTGATATAATATATAATTCTAAAGTTTATAAGAATATAGAAGAAACATTTTAAGTTTATAAAGGATATAGAGGAAATTCTGCCTAAAAATTAATATTAAAGCAAATGTTTGATCAAAATTAAAATTGTATTTTCTAGAAAGAATGACAACTTTTTCACGAACTTTATCGGATCAAACAAATATTAATCGTAAATATATAGTAACAAACAAAAAAAATACAATCTAAATATATGAATAGAAAATATGATTTTTATAGTGGCATGATGGTATGTTCGGGTCTCGTGAACTAACGTAGACCTGCGTGTTAATTTCTACCCAGCTGAGATCATGCTACCCAGTGCTTCCTTGATTGACTTTGGGTTCAAGTATGGCGGCCAACATAAACGCTTGGCATGTTGGCCAAGGTTTTAGGGGTTCATGTGTATGAAAAATAGTTGATGAAGATGACCTTTACGTTGTACTTATTTACTATGTTTTGTCGTTATGACATTTGCTGATGTATTCTAAAGTATTTGATTTTTTTTGTTCTTATGCTACTAATAGCGGTTGTCGTTATTGGAAATTTAGTTGAACCAAATACCAAACACAATTCTCTATTTCATCGGGCAACCAACATTTTTTTGCTAAGTGATTGCTTTATAGGTTTTCAATAGCATTTGATTTGGTGGCTTTTGGTTTATCATATATTGTCTTGTTTTTTTTACATAATTAGTCCAACTTCCATTTCCTAGATTACATATAATTAGGCTTATTACGTCTTAGTGATTTCAAAGTTCAAACTTCTGGTCGTACTTGAATTGATCAAGTTTGTGTTACACGTTTTCTCCTTCTTTTGTCATGTTTCATTGGTTTGTAACGTAAAGTTATGTAACTAAAAATAATATTCAATGGAAAAATGATCACAGGATCACATAGACTTTTTAACTAAAGATAACATTTCGATTGATTATTTAGAAACAAAACCAAACAACACGAAAAAAAAAGAGAGAACCATACAACCACTTAATTATACATATACACTTTTTAAAACATTTTTCAACCAAAACTTCTCTTAAAAAAGCATGTTATGTAGTCGAGTTGAATTTATAAACGGGAAAAAGCGAATAACTTGTGTTCTTCCTGTCCTTGACCATTGGTGTCTTGGGCCAACATGTTATCTAACTCGTGAACAAATATCTTCATTGCGGCACTTGGTAAAACCACAGGCACCACAATTCCAGATTCCCCTTTATGGTTTGTAAACGGTATATAAAAACTAGCAACACCAGGTATGGCACCCACTCCACCTTTAGCAGGCCCACCATAAGCCGCCTTCCCCCACCCAAAGTCAACCACATCGAATCCAGCGCGTGTCACATCGGATACAAGGTACGCTCGAACAACTGTAAAGTGGGGTCGGTTTTTTATAACCATTAAATCGGCGATAGATCTCATGTACTCTTCATTGACATCAGATTTAGCCTTCATCACAAGCTCTAACGCGTGCCCTAACGGTTTTTTTGATAGATCTCCCGCACTGGAAATGGCGACCGGAAACGCGAATCCGTTTCCGTAGTATCCAGTTGGAAGTGGCGGGTTGAATTTAGCCCGTGCGTTGACTATACATATAATTCGCATTTCCTCTTCAGGATCAGGGTTCAAGGCGATTGTACGACAACGCCAGAGGCAAGCGGTTAGGACTTCAAAGGTGGAACATTTTTTTAGGTGTGATGGTACAAATCTACGTAGAGCTGACACCTCAGCAGGTCCAAAAAAGAATGACTTATGTGCCATGTCATCTAGTGGGATGATTGTACCCTTGGTGTCTTCCACTTCTTCATACTCTTGATGAGTGCATGTCACTCGTGGTGGGTCTCTTGCGAAAAGCAAGTCCCTTTGCCACACAGACGATATGGAGGGTGCTGATGCACCCTGTGCCATTTCGCCTAGTGCGGTCATAAATTGTACGAGCCCTGGTGCATCGCTCATGGTGTGGTTTAGTCGTAGAGCGAAGATAAAACCCCCACATAATAATCGTGTCACCTATATAAAAAGAAGAAAAAAATTAGGTGGATGCGAATGATTACTATACAATATAAGATTATAAGTATGGGCATATTTGATGCCAATTTTACCCCCACATAAAAGTACTGCTTTTGTCCTATTTTGGTCCATTACAGTGATGGGGGTGGCTCAATTTGTAACCTTACAACCTAACACCCTCTAATAATATAAACTATTAAAGTTCAAATAATTGCAGAAAAATAGTATAGTTTTTTTTATAGAACCTAACAAATTTGTATCAATGCTTAGACCAAAAAAAGGTTTGTTAAGAGTATCTATAGTCATGGGTTTGTTTATATGTACATAACTATCTCATGTTAAATTTTCTCTCATCCATATATTCTATAAACTAATGTGTCAAATATTTTTTCAATTGTAAAGTTGTTTGAAGTTTACATATAAGTCTTAATTTTTTTTCTTACTAATTGTTACATATATAGGTTTATGAAAAAGGTTAATTAATGATAAGAAATTTAATTATGAAAGGTAACTTCGATTTATTAAAATGCTTTTAAGTAAGTTGAATATTAAAGAAGTTAAATACAAAATATACAATATTTAAATAGGTAGGTCCAATTAAAATTTTAAACACCTATTAATGAATATAAAAAAGAAAAGAAAACGTTCTGTTAAATGAAACCCTTTTAAAACATGGGCATGTGGGAAATTTCGTGGTTCTAATCGTGTAATTACATCTATGATCAATTGGCATCAGTCAAGATCACTAGATGGAAACTTTAGATTTGAGTGGATGGATGATTAAAATATGAAATCCATCACAATTGTTTTGTATTTAAGCACACAAATATATTCTTGCTACATTTTGTTATTAATTAAGTAGTTAATTTCATCTAGTTAGTACATAATTTTTCTTTCTCATTATTTTTAGAAAAGAAACTTTAAGTTTCAATGTTTTGTAAATTCAGTAATTTGTTTTTATTTGGTTGGAAAGTTTGAATACCTTCCTATTTAAAATGATGTAACATTTTTTTAAGTTAGCGGATAAAAGTAAGGTTTTAAGAAAACGTGTC